ATTTCTCTACAAGAAGATGGCAGCATGTCAAGAGAGGCAGGGGTCAGACAGTGGACAGGTCAGCTGACAGCTATCCTGCGGAGGAAGGTCTCTCGAATGATGTTGCGGAAGAGCAGCCCAGAAATGCCTGTTACAGCCCGATGGAGCCTGCGGGAGCCACACTGATTGCTGCCCAGAACTCGCCAGTGTTTCCTCGTTCCGGGTTCCCATTCCCTTCCCGATCGGGTGCAAAGGGCAGCGGGGTGGTGGCTGCCAGGCAGTAGAAGGCTTGTGAAACCGTGTCAGCTACTTTGCCAGCAAGTCTGTCCCCGCAAACGCCCTCAGCAAAGAACTGAACTGAGTGGGTAGTAAAAGTTGCACGCTCCCTCTCAGGGCTGCTAGGACGGCCGCCGTGCTTTCCTCTTTTTGCAGCCGGCTCAGGCTCGTCCGGGTTCCCTAAATACCTGCGCAGGGGTCTGTGTGCGACTTTCGCCACCGCCAGGCAGAGCATTATGGCAGCTTCCGTAGGAGGCTCTCGTCCACTAGTTAGAGCCCGGCTCGGGGACCGACATCTCCGCGGGGTGTAGACCCTGCGTGCGTCACTTAGTGCGTCACAAACAATACGCAAGCGCACGCGGGGCTGCCAGCAACTTCCGGGCATTGAGGGGCGGCGCCCATACCCTTTTCCCGCTCTCCTGCTGGGGGTCCCGTCTCCATTCCCAGGGGCGGGTGGGGCCGGCCGAGGTCAGAAACAGTAGCCGCTGCGACTGCATCCACCCAGTTCCTCAGTTCAGGGGAGCCGCCAGGCCAGGGCCGGACTCGGACAACCGACAACTCGCAGCGCATCGGGGAGCCGCGCCCCGCGCACGCGCACTGGGAGTCAACCGGCCTGTGCGGACAGTCACATGATGCGGGGCGGTGCCGAGGGCGCAGGAGGGAGGGAAGAGGCAGGCAGGGTGGAAGGCAGCGGCCCGACCAGCGGCGGCGGTAGCAGCGGCAGCATGGCTGCGCTCTACGGGGGCGTGGAGGGGTGAGTGCGGCTCGCCGGAGGGAGTCCGGGAGGGGCGGCCTGGGCCATCCTGGCCTGATGGCCGGGCGGAAGGTTGTGCTAGGCCGGACGGCAGGCAGGTAGCCTCGCGCCTCAGGATCGGCCACTGTTAGTTTTGGGCTGCCCGGGCCTTGCGCAGGAGGAGCTCCCTGATGCCCTGCAGGGACTCTGCGCCTGAGGTGCCACACCCCGGGGGCCCTTTGTGTTTTACGGAGGAACCACGCCCCTTTCTCCCACGAGCGACCCTCTCCACGATCTCCCTGAAGGAGCAGCGCCTTGTCCCTATTCCCAATCTGGAAGAGAGTTTGGCAGAACAGGTGTCAGGTGCAAAGTTGCCTGCGTGGGGGATGAGAGGGGGCGGAAAGCTCACGCAGATCTTTGCGGAGGGTGTCTGAGAGCTGGCGCCGCCGGGGACCTGAGTGCCAGCTTGTCCTTATGCCTGAAACCCCTCTATGCCTGTGGCCCTCCAGGCTCCTCACCCCAGTTAGGACCTTTCCTTACTCTTGCCTTTTTCTTGCTCTGAAGACTGTCTGCTGGACTTTGTAATAGCTTTGCTCCTGAAGTGGCTGTGGTCAAGGCATTGACCTCTCTAGACTTAAGTTATATGTGAAAAGTGAGGACAGGAATGAACGGAAGATTGCCCAGTCCCTTGCCAGTGACGGTATTCTGTGAATCTGGGTGGGTCAGATCAGTATGTGGTACCAGTGGCTTGTGTCAGCCAGGGACACTGTTCTTGTGAACCCGAGATTGGATTTACTTATCTGGTAGCCAGATCTCGCTGCTGTTTCAAACCCCAACATCTTTTGTTCCCTTTTTGCCTTTGCCAAAGGGTATGTGGGCTGGCCAGAGAGAGAGAGAGACAGAGAGGAAAAGAGAGATTTCACCTCCCTAGAGGGAATGGCCAGCTCTCCTCTCAGGATTCTAGGCACACACACATACATGCCCAGCATGTTTTTCAAGCTGCCGTTCTGGGCCTCAGACCGCGGTTGGCCATGTGGGAATCTAGCGCCTTAACCACCAAGCCATCTGCTGGCCCCATCACATGAATTGTTGAGTTTCCCCATCCTATGTCTTTAGCCCTTAAAAAAAAAAAAAAAAAAAAAGTGTACATTCATCCCTGTTGTATTCTTTTGTAAAATATGGCCCACTTTTTTCCAGTTCGACAAGCTATTCTTATGCATGTTGAACCGCCTCTGCGTGCTTCTTTTTTTTTTTTGACAGGTTTTTGCTATAGGGTGAATGTGCTCGCCAAAAAGAGAGAGACAGAAAGCGAGAAATCTCCCTTCAGGGGGATGGCCACACCACAGTTCCTTCTCCTCCATTCTCCTCTTGGGATTTTGGGCACACACGCACACATGCTCGGTGTGAGTTTAAGCCACCAGGTCTGGGACTTGAACCGCAGTCTACTACATGGCAGTCCAGCAACATAGCCATTACACCAGCTACTGGTCCCCCTCTGCATGCATTTATCCCCTAAAACTTCATGCTACCTTTGAGTTCGATCAGCAGGTCTTTAGTGTCCTGTCCTAAGACATTCCCGAAAGTGCTGATCGGTACAGAAGCATAGGTCACAGACCATAGATCTCTCTAAACTCCCACTTCCCCCTAGTAAACTGCACATGAGGGTGTAGTTGCTTAAGTGTGTATAAACTCTCCTTGCCATCTCGTCGGCATTTCTGACAAGGGTATCTTGAAGACAGCTGGAGCTAGACTTTTAAGTGTTGTGGGAGGAGCAGAGAGAGCATTCTGTCTGTCTGTCCATGTTGCCTGCGCCAGGCCTTGTACTGGTTCTGGGGATGGATAAATGGTCTGGAGCTCATAGCTGGTAGCCTGGTGGGAGGCAGACACAAAGCACGAGTGCAGTACTAACAGGAGAATGTCTTAACTGTGGGGCCTTGGGGTCTTCACCAGTATGTGGAAGGGGGCCACAGAGCAGGAACAGTTTCAAGAGCTAGGTGATGTTTAAGTAGAGTCTTGCAGGGTAAGTTATGACACCCTGGGGAAGATGGATGGGAAGGACATTTCAGTTCAGAAGCACAGAGAGCACCAAGCCATAGAGGTGGATTTGGGAGCAGTGACTGGCATGGCTGAAGCTGTCCCAACACACAGGGCTCTGCCGGCAGCGGGGACTGCACTGGCTTCCTCTACCTGCAGGTTTTTCTGAGCAGGACTGAGTGCCCCCTTGTGTTCTGCAGGGGAGGTACACGGTCCAAGGTCCTTTTACTCTCGGAGGATGGACAGATCCTGGCAGAAGCAGATGGACTGAGCACAAACCACTGGGTAAGAGCCACACGGAGGGGACCAGAGGGCTCGGTTCTGGTTTTATTCTTGGTATCTCCTGTTGAGGTGGTGGCCGGGGTTCATAGAGCAGCCTGTAGGGGCAACACAGGTCCTGCAGGCTTGTAACTTTTCCTTCCCTTGATTGGGGCCAGCTGATTGGGACAGACAAGTGTGTGGAGAGGATCAACGAGATGGTGAACAGGGCCAAACGGAAAGCAGGAGTGGATCCTCTGGTACCGCTACGAAGCCTGGTGAGTCGGGGGAGAGCCTGGGAGTGAAGCCATCAGGGAAACTGAGACAGGCAGCAAGTTTGGATTAGGTTAGTTTGAGGACTGTAGAGGAAGAAACCTTCAGTCGTTAGTCCCTGGAGTCTGATCTCACCCGTTCTCCTGGCTTCCTGTAAGCCACAAGTGTATTGGAAGAGCATGGGGGTTCGGGGAGCCCTTGAGACCTGGGTTTGAATTCCAGCTTTGCCACTCAGCATCTCTTTGACCCTGACTAGGATATTTATCTTTTTTAAGCCTCAGTTTTTTTTTTTTTTTTCATCTGGAAAACATGGGTGGCAGTAGCTACCTCAGAGTAGTTGGGAAAATAAAATGACATATTCATCCAAAAGCCATTAGCAAAGAGCCTGACTCATGGCTACTCATTAGCTGTCAGCTATTATTCCCAGGCCAGCTTTCTCCTAGTTGCTGGTTGCGGCTACTCCCTGGCCCTGAAACTGAGGTGTTCTGCTGGCACAGCCAAGCCCTGGCCATTCCAAACAGACCTTTCTCCATCTTTCCTCACTTTGATCTCCTGTCAGACTTCGCTGTTAAAGAGCACCACTGTCTTCCCAGGCTCCAAACCTGGCCTTGCTGGGTCCCCAATTGAAGTTTTTTTTTTTTTTTTTTTTGGAGAGGTTTTTGCTATAGGGCGCGTGCGCTCACCAGACAGACAGAGAGACAGAAAGTGAGAAATCACCCCCTGGGGGGATGGTCACACCGCAATCCCTTCTCCATTCTCCTCTTCGGCTCTTGGGCACACACGCACACGCGCCCGGCGTGAGTTTAAGTCACCGGGTCCGACTCGAACCGCGGTCGACTATGGGGGAGTCCAGCGACATAGCCATTACACTAACTGCTGGTCCCCCCCAGTTCAAGTTCTTGCAGGCCCCGACTTCTGCAGGGACATTGTGTGGGATGGAAGGAGGACTGTGGCTGGAAGAGCAGGATAAGCCAGACATAGGCAGCAGGAGGCAGTCCTCAGTGGAGGGGTGTCGAGAAAGGAGTGGATCTAGGGCTCTGCACACTCGCTCACCTGCTGCTGGCCTAGGGCCTGTCCCTGAGTGGTGGAGAACAGGAGGACGCAGTGAGGATCCTGATGGAGGAGCTGAGGGACCAGTTTCCCTACCTGAGTGAAAGCTACTTGGTCACCACGGATGCCGCAGGCTCCATTGCCACAGCTACACCAGATGGTGAGGAGGTGGAGGGCGGGGTGGGGTTGAGAACTGGTCTTCTGGGGAAAGCCCCTTAGATGTAACTGGCAAAACTTGTCTTGCAAATATGATCTGAAAGGCAGCTTCGGTCATATCCCCCAACCCCTGACTCTCCTCAGTTTAACTCTCTGCCAGGACCAAGGGTGGGTCAGGAGGAGGGAGGGCAGGAGAGGTATCTCCACAGGAAGTGAGGAGCGGAGTCAAGCGAGACTGCCCTGCAGAGGAGGAGCCCCTGGAGGCAGTGCAGTGAAGGCTGGCTGGGGAAGCTGGGTGCCGAGAAAGTGGGGGAGCTCTGTGATGGTGGAAAGAGGGTTGGTCTCATGGGATTGGCTTCTACTTTCCCAGATGT